GCTTGATTATTGTAACTCGCTCTACGCAGGGCTGCCCTTGAAGCTGACCCAGAAACTCCAGCGGGTGCAGAATGCCACGGCGAGGCTCCTTACAGGGTCCTTGTCATGGGATCACATTCATCCAGTGCTTTACCAACTGCACTGGCTCCCGGTAGAATACAGGGTCAGGTTTAAGGTGCTGGTTTTGACCTTTAAAGCCCTAGGGCCCACACACCTATGGGACTACCTCTCCTGCTATGCCCTGCAGAGGACCTTAAGGTCCCCAAATGACAACATTTTGGAGGTCCCAAGTCGCAAGGTGGTTAGATTGGTCACAACTAGGGCCAGGGCCTTTTCAGTACTGGCCCCGACTTGGTGGAACGCTCTGCCACAAGAGACTAGGGCCCTGCAGGATTTGACATCTTTCCGCAAGGCCTGCAAGACAGAGCTGTTCCGCCTGGCCTTTGGTTTGGACTCAGTCTGACCCTTATGTTTCCCTCCCCTTATGGTTTTGATCTATGGCCTACTACTAAAATGAGGCTGCATTTTAAATTCTATTTTTAACCTGTGTTTTAAATTGGTTCCCCCTCCCCCATTATGTTTTTATTGTAATTTTACTGGTGTTAGCCGCCCTTAGCCCGGCTCTGGCCGGGGAGGGTGGGGTATAAATAAAAATTTATTCTTATTATAGAAATGATTTGTACTTGTTTAGGGGAGAAAGCTGAGAGGCCTGAGGAGCTCAGTTCAGTGTCAGAGCCAGTTCTACACAGGGTGTAGCTGCGTGGGCATGGGTGGGTGGCTGGGGGGGAGGCATATTCTGTGAACGTTTCCCATGACCCATTCTTTTCGGCCTGCCGTTTTCCTGGCGGAACCCTTGATATTTTCAGATGTTCATGTGAATTTGAATTACATTCTTGCAGCACTGCGGATTAACAGCAAGGCAACAAAAGTGGATTTTGCAAGCCCTTGTTGTTGCTAAGAGATTTCTACCTGGAAGGATAAACACTCAGGTCTGCAAAGCAATGGCCTGAGGACCTCGCTGCTCTGGCTAGATTTAGACATGTTCCTAATGAACAACTGCTTTGTGTCTGGCTGGCTTAAACTGATCCATATGTTTGGATGTATTGTTGTTTATTCATAAAATCTAGTCCAACCTCTTGCAATGCAGGAATCACAGCTAAACAATCCCTGACAGCTGGCCATCTAACCTCTGCTTGAAAACCGGCAAGGAAGGAAAGCCTACCTTCCAAGGTAGTCCGTTGTCGAACAGCTTCTACCATCAGAAAGTTCTTCCCAATGTTTATTGCGTGGACAGGCGGAGTCCCCAGATCCCGCGCGGTCCCCCCGTCATGTGGAATAACAACTCATGACAACGTGCTATGGGATTAAATTGGCCACAACTTTATTAAATTTCAAATGTGAGTAGATCTTGGCTCAGGCATTGGGCATTCTCCCTCCCCAGTCCCCAGCCAGGGACCTAGGGAGCATCAGGGTTATCCAGTGGGGGGGGATGGGCCGGCTCTGGAGAACATATGTTCAAGCAGAGATAGCCGCCCCCATTATGCCGCCGCCACAGGGGAGAGCAATGACGACCTTTCAGCGTACGGTCAAAGCCTCCCTTCAGAAACCCCTTTAACGGGGAACCCTAGTATCGCCGCCGCAAAGAGGAAGATGGACTAAAGGATTCCGCCCAAGGCCTGATACCACCAAAGTTGTGACATTTTGCTACGGGAAAGGCAAAACCTGCCAATGCAGGGAAATTCCTTTCCGGCCCTTTAACAGCGTCCTTAACATAGCAGCGCCCGCATACCTGTGAAGAAAATTTAACCTGCAAAACCTGTGAAGAAAAGTTAACCTGCAAAATAAGACATTAACTGAGGGTGGGTAGGGTGGGAGAAGCTCTGGAGCCAAGTGAGGATCCCCAGGTAAGATCCTCCCTCTATTGTGTGGGCAGGTAATCCCTCCCATACCTGGCCTGGTCTCCTTGGCAACGCGTGTCCCAGGTGGGATTGGACAACTGACTGAGGTAGGTGGAGACCTCCAGGTATCCCACCTGAGGGAAGGCAAAGCCAAGCCTATGCTGATGGAGCCGCTCCAGATCTAGGGGCTGCACGCGTCCACGCAAAGGGCGCCGCCTGTTTTAAGCAGGGAGCGGTCATTGTATTCTCAATACAGGGGGTTGGACCAGATGGCCCTATGATTCAATGTCAGCTGATTGGTTTCCCTCTCATCTCCCTGCCTCCTTCCCTCTCTTCCTTTTTCTTTGCTAACTTGCTGGTATTTGTGATAGGGAGGTCTTGTGGACCACATCAGTCTCGTGGGCAGGAGGTTCTCCGATCCTGTCCAGGGAGTTTTTCCATTCCCCTCCCAGTCGTAAGTTCAACCAATTATCAAATATCATCCTACTTAACATTTTATAGTGCTTTCAAGCGTTCAGAGCACTTCATATGTGCAATTGAGTTGTAATTAGATACTTCATTTCATTTGATTTCTGGTCTATGGAAACCTTGCCTGTATTCATTCACAAATCCCTTCCATCTGACTTCAGCTTTGATACACACAAGAACTTCAGAAGAGCCTTGGTGGATCAGGCCAAAGGCCCATCTAGTCCAGCATCTTTTCCTCTCACAGTGGCCAACCAGTTGCGTATGGAAAGTCCACAAGCACAACCCTCAACTTTCAGACCTTCCGAGTATTCCTATTTTCCAGGGACAGTCCTGAATTTACAGAAGCCACCCAGGTTTCTGATTTGATCCTGGAATGTCCCACTTTTCCTTAGGACGTCCCTATTTCCATCGGAGAAAGTTTGGAGGGTATGGAGCTATCTGACCCCTGAGCCATCTGAAAGCAGCCTTGTATTGGAAATATTTTTAATGTTTAATGTTTATTATTATTATTATTTTTAGGCTTTTATTGATAAATACAATACTCACAAATGCAAAACGAAACACAAAACAAACTTATTATACATACATACATACATACATACATACATACAGGGTTAAGAACTTAATTCGTTCTGGAGGTCCATTCTTAACCTGAAACTGTTCTTAACCTGAAGCACCACTTTAGTTAATGGGGCCTCCCGCTGCCACCATGCCGCTGCCACGCGATTTCTGTTCTCATCCTGAAGCAAAGTTCTTAACCTGAGGTACTATTTCTGGGTTAGCGGAGTCTGTAACCTGAAGCGTTTGTAACCTGAGGTACCACTGTATTATTTTTTTCTTTCTGTTTCTTTTTCAGCTGCCACACCAGTAATTTTCCTGGCTTGTTGGCAAACTCAAACACCCTTTGTTTCATCCACTTTATGTTATTTTCTATCTCATAGTTTAATATTGATGAAATCTGCGTTTGCAATATTTTGAGTTTTTGTTTTGCAATTTCATTCTTTGAGTCCCTTGCTAATATTTTTTCGTTTAGGGACCCCTGAGCCATCTGAAAGCAGCCTGGTATTGGAAATATTTTTAATGTTTAATGTTTTATTATGTTTTTATATAGGTTGGAAGCCGCCCAGAGTGGCTGGGGCAACCCAGTTAGATGGGTGGGGTATAAATAAAAGCATTGCCATTATTAATATTATTATGGAATAGGACGTCTATATTTTCATTGGAGAAATGTTGGAGGGTACTTGTGCTTCCCAGCAACTGGCATACAGAGACATACTGCCTCTGTCACTGGAGAGAATAATTGTGATTCAGCTGAGATTTGCACAAAGCACAGCCAGTGATGGGTGTGGCCTGGGTAAAAGAGGTGTAGCTGGGCAGAGTGTGAGGCCTTGGTGAGTCCCAAGGGCCAGCTGGAGAGGTCTGGAGGGCTGCATGGGGGTCCTGGGTCTGAGTTTCCTGATCCCTGCTTTAAGCCACCTTGTTGATTAGTCATTTAGTCATGTCCGACTTTTTGTGACCCCATGGACCAGAGCACGCCAGGCACTCCTGTCTTCCACTGCCTCCCGGAGTTTGTCAAACTCATGCTGGTAGCTTTGAGAACACTGTCCAACCATCTCGTCCTCTGCCGTCCCCTTCTCCTTGTGCCCTCCATCTTTCCCAACATCAGGGTCTTTTCCAGGGAGTCTTCTCTTCTCATGAGGTGGCCAAAGTATTGGAGCCTCAGCTTCAGGATCTGTCCTTCCAGTGAGCACTCAGGGTTGATCTCCTTCAGAATGGATAGGTTTGATCTTCTTGCAGTCCATGGGACTCTCAAGAATCTCCTCCAGCACCATAATTCAAAAGCATCAATTCTTCGGCGATCATAACCCTTCTTTATGGTCCAGCTCTCACTTCCATACATCACTACTGGGAAAACCATAGCTTTAACTATATGGATCTTTGTTGGCAAGGTAATGTCTCTGCTTTTTAAGATGCTGTCTAGGTTTGTCATCACTTTTCTCCCAAGAAGCCTAGTAAGTTCGTATCAGAGGTGAGTTTTGAACCAATAACTTTCTGGTGTGCCGCTTAATAGCTTAGCAACTCTGCTGTACCAACACTACTGAGAACTCTTCACGTTTACACACATTTTAACAGCAGCCTGCAGGAGCACCTGCACATTTCATTCAAACGTTTTCATTTTCATGCAGTCCCCCCTTCCCGCTGATCATTTCCTGAAGGCTTAGCTTGGCTGTTTTAATTGAAAGAGAAAAGAGCAGCTGCTTATTTGGTCCAAATTATTTATGAAGAGAGTGATCAAAAAATGTGGCCCACAAGTAATTTGGTACCATTGTGGCCCTTTGATGGTTTTTTTGTTTGTTGGTTCACAGCAGCTGTTCTTCAACTACAATCCTGGGATCACTCACCTAAGGCATTTTTTATGTGGTCCTAGAGACCAATAAATGAGTAGGAGAGGGGGGAAGGTTCCTCTGTGATTTTTGCTACATGCAGAAAAGCTAGGCTGCTTTTCAGTTTATAAGCAGTGCTCACCTCACCTACTTTTTGAACCCATAGCATCCCAACAGTTCTGTATGGTGTGATTTTTATGAACAACCTGTCCCTCTGAAGAATGGGGAATACACTCCCAGGGTCATGTCAGCCTAGGTAGCTCAGCTGGTTAGAGCGTGGTGCTGATAACATCAAGGTTGCAGGTTCAATTCCTGTATGAGACAGCTGCCTATTCCTGCATTGCAGAGAGCTGGACCAGATGATCCTCAGCGTCCTTTCCAACTCTACAATTCTATGATTTTATGACAATCCTATGGCAAGCCAGAATTCCAGAACAAAGAGCAATGGATTTCAGAGGGCAGGCTAGGAGGCAAAAACAAACAAACAAAAAACCAGCCCAAGCCATGGCCTAATGTGGTCTCTGCATTTACTTTAGGGCAGAAATGTGGAACCTCTTTCAGCCCAAGAGGTGTGTTCACTTCTGGACAGCTTTCCATGGGCCACATGCCAGTGATGGGTGGAACCAGAGACAAATGTGGGGAGAGCAATGGAGGTAAATTCCATATATGCAAAGAAGGCTCGTTTCTACACACAAACTCACATACTCCTCTCTATCCTCAAAACAGGCAAGTGAGAGATACGATCAGAGTTCAAGGACACATTCCAGCCAAGGACACAGTTCCTGGACTAGGGCTACAGTATATGTGTACGCATGTGTATATATATATGCCAAAGGCCAAATTAGAAAAGTGAGCAATAAACTTTTACTTTACTACTTTACTGCTTACATCTTGCATTTCATGGGGTTGGACCTGATGACCCTTGGGGTCCCTTCCAACTCTATAATTCTGTGATTCTGTGAATATATTCCTTCCATCTGTTTTTCCAGCCTCTGTCAAAATGTCCAGACAATCTGTTCAGCACCGCAGATGGTCAGTACCATGTGTTTTCCTGATCTGGTGTCATTCCTGCACTGGGAAGTACTGAGTGGAAGGAGAATTAAGACTGGACACATTCAACTATTTTCCTACTGTTTTGCTGATGGTGTGTGTGTGTGTGTGTGTGTGTGTGAGAGAGAGAGAGAGAGAGAGAGAGAGAGAGAGAGAGAGAGACAGACAGACAGACACAGACAGACAGACAGAGAGGCTGTCATATAGTCTTTCTATGTCTCTCTCTTCTGTGTGTTTTTGAAGAACTGGGTCAGGTACAAAGCCCCGTTTAGCTACTGAAGCAGCCCTTTTACAGTGGTGCTTTAAAACCAACTCTAGGACTTTGCTGTTTTAGTGTGGTTCGAAATAAACCTCATGCTCACACTTTGTTTAATGTGGTTGTATGCTGAGCAGCAAACTGTTTTAATCTGCGTCTGCTAGAAGGCAAGTTTTATGCTGCTATTTTTATTGCTTTGCCTTATATTGATGTATTTTTAATATCGCATGACGTGTGTGCTTCTGCTTTGTAAGACACATAGAGAATTTCATTCGCGGGCAGCTGTATGAATTGAAACGGCAGTCACAACCACAACAGACAATTCTGTGCAAGTTTCAGCCAGACACATTATCGCTAACCTACCTCACAGGCCTGCTGTGAGGATGCAAAGGGGAGTGCCACATCTTCTGCCCTAAACTGCTTAGAAGACTTGGAGAAAGGATTGGATATAATGATAATAATAATAATCATATTAATAATTACAATTATAATTCTCATGAGATTTGTACTACAGACTGCTCTAGTGAGCTATTCCCAGGCCCCTCTGTAGGGTCCCATGCCTTTTCATCCAAAGAGATCTCTCCAGGGACCAAGTCAGACAGGATCCTGACACTTTCCCCTGACATACTAGCTCTCTATGAGCAAGGAATATGCTGGAGTATTCACTCATGCAGTCTTTACCTACTGTCTGAAACTGCACTGTCTTAGGAGAGCTGTGGAAAGTGATTTTCTGAGCAGGACAATCCACTCTCCCTTGGGTATTTTGATGTCATTTGCAATCAGGGTGGCACTGAGTAGAAAAAAGCGGAACGTTCTTCATCTTGCAATCAAGGCTGACCTTGCCTATGAATCAGGCCACTTTGGGAAGCTGAATCAAGACGGGCTCGCCATTTTCCTGCCTCAAATTTCCATCTCAGCAGGAGATTTATAGGGCAAGCCTACCTATGTCTACTCAAAAGAATGCCATACTAAGTTCAATGAGACTTGCTCCCAGGTAAGTGCATATATGAGTGCAGTCTCTTTTGGTTTTAAAAAAAGCAACCCACCACTGTCTATAAAGTGGAGGGTCAGTATATTTTGATCTCCAAGTACAAAAATGAGAAAAGTCAACATATGCTTGAAGAAAAACCCCTCCCCCTCCACTCATCTCTCTCAGGATGCCCTTTTAAGGCAGAGATAAACTAACTTACATTCTCTAACTCATCTTGAGCAGAAATCAATGGGCTGGTTTCAGCAGTAATTTCTCAGCATGCTCTGAGGATTGGGGGGGGGGGAGAGAAGACAACAGTGCACAGAGTTAATTCTTCTGTATTATACTGAGCCTTCAGTTTCTGAAGACAATTTCTACCCTGTGTAGACAAACAACTCATAATGTGGCTAAACTGTTCTTGGGCTGTTCCACATCAGGCTGCTGGAAGTCAGGGTATATTACTTGGTGGAATGCTTCTCTTTCTTTCTTTCTTTCTTTCTTTCTTTCTCTCTCTCTGTCTCTCTCTCTCTCTCTCTCTCTCTCTCTCTCTCTCTCCACACACGCACAATTTTTTACTGGGCTGGATGGTTGCCATATTTTGAAGAGCAAAAAAGAGGACGCTATGACAACTCTCATTCATTTTAAATACCCCTACTATATGTAGGCTGTAGGGACACAGGTGGCACTGTGGTCTAAACCACAGAGCCTAGGGCTTGCTAATCAGAAGGTTGGTGGTTCAAATCCCCGCGACGGGGTGAGCTCCCGTTGCTCGGTCCCAGCTCCTGCCCATCTAGCAGTTTGAAAGCACATCAAAGTGCAAGTAGATAAATAGGTACTGCTCCGGCGGGAAGATAAATGGTGTTTCTGTGCGCTGCTCTGGTTTCGCCAGAAGCTGCTTAGTCATGCTGGCCACATGACCCCGAAGCTGTCTGCGGACAAATGCCGGCTCCCTCAGCCTATAGAGTGAGATGAGTGCCGCAACCCCAGAGTCATCCGCGACTGGACCTAACGGTCAGGGGTACCTTTACCGTTATATGTAGGCTATAAAAGCTGTGGTATATTGCTGAGGGGGACAGGAGAAGAGAAGAGGAAAGCAAGTCTTCAAACACCAGTTACCTATGTCTATGTCTCATCCAGAAAGTATAGCCACATACATTTTGGCAAATTTAAAAATACGCACCCAGGCAGACATTTCACCCCTGAAAAAGAGGACGTGTCTGAGGAAAAGAGGACACACGGCAACCCTAGTTGGATATGTCAATTTCGGTTTTTCATTTTTCCAGCCTTAAAGTCAGTTTTTCGCATTTCCACACCAGTTTGCAATTTTATGAAAACCTCATGAAAATTCATCAGAATTTTTATGTGATTCCTATTTTCTTGTCAGTGGATGGTGCCTTTTTGTCTACATAAACATCCACCCCCAAGGGTTGTTATGTAAGATAAATGTAAGCACCATATTCCCATCCTTTTATTTTATTTTCCTTAATGCTCTGGCCAGATAGAGTTCTATCTAAACTGTGCAGCTCACAAACTCTCTTTCGTAATGCATTGTTGGGTTCTAATAAAGGTTGCTTTTTACTCTCCTGGTTAGCTTTTGTGCCACTATCTTCTGTTGCCCAGACCTTTGAACTTTCTCTTCCAGCATTCAAGAGCAGCAAGCCAGCACATGCCAGCATTCATGCACAGAATTCATTTCGAGGGAGATATCAGCAAGCACTGCAAGGAGTGGCACAAAGGACAGTTCCCACTGACATCTCAATTGATAGCATCAGCCTGCCGCATGCAACTTTTAAACTCCCAGCGGCTATGCCAAGGTGACTTCAGAATTGCTTCCTGATCGGAATATATTTTTCTGGGCTGGAGAATCCCAGGATAGAAAAGGAGCAGGGTTGCGACCCAAAAAAAAGAGTCAAAGAGCACAAAAAGAATGAAAAGCTATTCATCTTTCCTCTGCAGGGACCTTCTTTTCCCTGAGGACCAAGCTGGCTCAGTTTCTGGATTTCCTCTTTGTGATCACACCCTTGACAAAGGGATGGGGGAACCAGCCTAGTTGACACTGAAGCGCTGCCAGCCCATTATGTATTACACCGGGAATATTATGCAGTGGTAAAAAGGAACTCAGGTACTGACAGGCATCAATCCACAGTTTGACCTGGGAACCTTGGGATCTGAAGACTGGAACTAACTGGATGAGCTACCCAGAACTTTGTAGGCTTGGCTCTCCCAGCCCTCCTAAGGCACGCAAGGAAATTGCAGTGTGAAATGTTGATCCACAATTGGCAAGCTCAAGTGGCAGTATCAATATTGGGAGCCAGTCTTTCAGTCCTTGTCTAGTCAGTGAGCAGAGCTCCCAGTTCCAGGATGAGAGAGCACACACTCTAGAGATTTCTCATAACTGCTTACAGCCCAGACCAGAGATAGCAAGCCCACAAAAGTTGAATCCACTACGTCCGTATACAAACTACATGACTAAACTCTGGTCTCTCCCAGATCTGAGTACTCTAACCACTACAACACCATAGGCTTTTCTGTACACCCATGTTCAGCTCACATCTTCAGCTGCGCCAGCATGGGCTGGGCGACGGGAGCACCTTCACTGACCTTCCGATCACAGGAACGCAGGAACAGCAACACAGCATTCCCAGGAAATAAGTCCTGGTGCTGTGGACTCACATTTGCTCATGTGAGCACCCAAATGCAGCAGAGTAAACGGAAGCAAAGCTGTGGAGGCTTTGTAGCATACCTAATTTATTTATTCTAATTAAACAAATAAAAGAACATAACAAACATGTACGAGAGAAGCAGCTCTCATGCAGCCATCTCGTCTCTAGACAGATCAAAAGAAAAGTCCTGCAGTACTAGAGACGGAAGTCTCAAAGAGTAGCTTCTGCCCCCTCCTTTCTCACAGACAGAAAGTAAAACAACATGACCAGGGGATCCTTGCAATGGGAGGAATGAAAATACTGACAAAGCTCAGGGTTCAATGACACATTCCAGTCAGGCAAAAACACCCAAGGAGTGGGTGAAGCAGGGCCAGCAGGCTGGGGA